TCGCATTTGATACCTGATTAATTCGCTGGAATGTCAGGCAGTCATTTTGGAGTTGACGGTCTCTGCCGCCTTTGGAAAGCAAAATCCAAAACAAAACATAATTTTATCAAATTCTACATTTTATAACCTTTCTGTTGATATATAGTTTGCGGGAGTTTCCTTGAAAACAGCGCGCGTATGAATTTTTTTCTGGAGGACTCCTGTGAAGGTTTGAAGTAACCTTAATCAGTGGCCTAGCAAAATTTGCCCATGTCCAATCAGACTCTAGGGAGACATACAATTTATGGCTAGAGAGATGTTTTTTCATCAATGACCCATTTTAAACTAGGAACACACAATCCATCACAGGAAACTTGTAAAAAGATTTTTAAGTACAACAATCTGGCTTTGCCTGTGAGTTGAATTATTTCTTGTTGCCCTTTAAAGGAAATATCTTTGAAGTAAAGTCAAGTTTCTCTTGAATTTTATGCTTTTCATGGATGCAGATCTTTGTGATTAACCTCTCTTCACAGGACATGTAGTGTTGACTGATTTTGGTTTGTGTAAAGAGGCAGTATTTGAAAACAGTTTAACTCACACGTTCTGTGGAACTATTGAATACATGTAAGTATATCTACATATAGACAGTGTCCAAGTTTCAAACTTGGACCCAGTTTTTGAAAGAGTGGATAACAATATACATGTATATTTACTGGAATAATCAATACCCAGTGGATAAGTGTTGACAAAACAAACTATGCTGTCCTTGGGATAGAGATTTATCGGGTGGACAGGCTTATCCATCCTTTGGACGTCTGTTGCCTGGGGCCCCTTTCTTGAAGGTCCCGGTAGTTACTGGTTGCAGAACACTCTGTTTTGTTTGCCATGTTTACATTCAAGATCATAATATTAAAGAATAGTTTTGAAATTCAAACAATAAAATTAGCAGGAAATGAAACAGACTGGACTGGTTTTTGAGCTAAAACCAGCACTACTATTTCTTGGGTCCACAAAGTTATGGAGAGATAACTGAAATGTTTCCCTGACACACTGTGTGCATGTAGTAGTGAAAGCCAGGAAAAATAGTTTGATCCCATGGCTTCAGCTCTTTGACTACCAGTGTGCTGGCTTTCAGGTGATCTATAGTTGGTGATAAACACTGAAATATGAAAACAGTATATATTGATATTTTACCAGAGAAGGCAGTTGATTAATCAAAGCAGTCTTTTGGTATGATTAATTTAGCGGCATTTCTCTAATTGAAGGGCGCCTGAGATTCTCACACGTAGTGGTCATGGAAAAGCAGTTGATTGGTGGAGTCTAGGTGCACTCATGTACGACATGTTGACGGGCAGTGTAAGTTGACACATGTTTGTTTTTTGTACCAATTTAAATGAAGCCAGTGCTAATCAAATATTATGCTGAACTATATAATTCATGTTGCATATTTGATGACACAGAACTCATGCTTCCTTCATTTAAAGAGCTTTTTTCATTGGTGACCAGGGTGTTATTTACACTTAAATACTTTGAATGTGGTAATATTGTAATCGGAAACCAGGAAAGGGAAAAGTCATACTGATTTGGGTTTTCGAAAACCAAAAAGAAATTTAGATTGTCTACATTTTTCTTTGGTTTGGGGCTACTCAAATTAATTATTGTGCTCATGCTCAGCAAAATTGAAATCTTTTTCTTCTATAGTAATGGTGGAGTAACTATGTACATTGCCTGTTTCAATGATCAAGATACAGAAGTGATATGAAGAATAAACTACACAGCTGCATAATTTGGAATGGCCCTTAATTTGTAATACCATCATAGTCCTTATAATTGACATTGCACAGTCATTGTATTGCAACCTGACCTCTTATTTGGTGTTTTCAGCCTCCTTTTTGTGGGGACAGCAGGAAAAAAACAATTGACAAGGTAAGTTGAAAGTTTGTGAGTATCCTGCTCTTGGTGATGGGATCCCTTTTTATTCAGGATAGGCATGTTGCTTTGGTGTGATTTACATGAGCTGTACATCTACATTGTAGGAATTTAATGCAGCAGTTGTTTTTAATCAAGGTTATCTCTCATACAAATTAGTCCCTATTGGATGTCTGTCTGTCTGTAAGTCTTTCCATTCATTTATGTATTCTTTCATTTATTGTACTAACTTAGAAATTAGTTGCTCATCAGTTGAAGGTGGAAATTCTGATTTTCTCTTGTAGTGTCACCCCTTCTTCCGCTCTATTAACTGGGACGATCTTTATTCTAGAAAAGTGGAGCCCCCATTTAAACCAAACATTGTAAGTATTTCATTCTGTAATCCTATACAGATACATCAAACAAGTTAAAAGTTCAATTTACTGGTTAAAGAACAAAAGAAGTATGTTGCATGTTGTCCAATCAGCTGTTTTTCTTCACAGACCGGAGAGGAGGATGTTAGTCAGTTTGATAGTAAATTTACCAGACAGACACCCGTCGATTCACCGGTGGATTCAATGTTGAGCGAGAGTGCAGATAAAATATTTCAGGTAAAGATGACTATGACATCCTGCTAAGATAAGAGTGCAATGCATCCTTGACGTTACAAACTTGTTCAGAACTTTCCAAAACATGTTTTAGCACATGATTAGTCGAGATTATTGCTACAACTTCTTACTAGAAAAAGCCCTATTTTGTTGTGGACGATTGTAAATACCTTAATAGACCATGGTGTTCCTTAGTGAGGACAACATAATAAGAACAAGTGTAATCATTCTTCTTATGCTCTTGCTTGTAATGAACTCGCCACTTTTTTTTTAGCTTATATGCTGATGCATGTTGATATTCATCACTAGTGAAAATCACGAGAAGAGAGGGATATACAGGGACTGCAGTAAATCTAGCTGGGTATACTGTACCAACATGTTATATATGTCTTTTATTATTTACCAGGGCTTCACATATGTAGCACCTTCAGTTATGGATTCATTAAATAGAGAAATACCCATGTCTCCTTGGAGATACACAAGGTATTAAAACTACATGTATCAGTCAATGTTGCTGTTCTTTAATCTCTGGAAAAAAGATTCAATGCGTGTTTGTGCAGGCTAGTACTGTGCAGTAATTTGTCTTCTTTCTGTTAAGAAAAAGCTATATAGCTATAGCTTTGCTGATTTCTTTAAAGAAATGGAAATGGGTAGTGGCTCTAAAATGTTTTGTCTTGCTTTACAGATCCCCAAGAAAAAATACACAGCCTATGAGGTAATTTTTATTTTATTTGAAGGGGAAAATTGTTAAAGTAATATTTCTGAAATTTATAATGTAATGAAATAACTATTGCATATGTACATGTATGTATAATAGGAGTTACAATAACGTCCTTTTGAATTTATTGCATTGTGATCTTTTTGTGGCATGGAATTTTTTTTTCTGGTTGGGTTTTTGTAACCAAATAAAACTTAGAGCAAAATGTAATTTGGAACTTCATATTGTTCTTAAAAGCTGTGATCATTTTAAGTGCCATGGTGTCAGGTATTAAGAGAAACTTTTATGGCAGTTTTGCTACATTGTTTGTAACAGAAGGGCTTATTATAACTAAGTCCCTTCCCTCTTAGGCAAAATGTTCCTAGAATATGAAGATAAAGAATCAGGTGAACCAAAAAAGAAAGAAAAAAAAATTTAGTTGTTTTTAACTGATTTTTCCAAGACAACAGCATAATTTGAAAACATCCTCTGAACTTTTCCAATTCAACATCACAGCCAAGTGTACGCCAAAGTCATCATATCAATCTTTTTATAGTGTCAGTGCTCTGACTGATAGAATGTTTGAGAAAACTAGACCATTATATAAAGGCTTTGATCCATCGATGAACATGTCTATCGGGTTTCGGCATATCAAAGTTATGCTCATTGTAGTGCCCCTTAACTTAAAGTTGCAGCTTAGAAATATTTTGAATAATTTTGTATATATTTTAATTTCACAACTTTGGAACCCTAGATAAACAGAACAGTTTCTTTACTTGTTATTGGTTAGCTACAGTACTTTGTTACCTTGGAAGTAAATTTGTTCTAGGACATAACATAGAGGCAGTTTTTTTGACTTGCCTTGCATTAAACTGTATTGTTAGTAATTTACTTGAAGGTACCTGCAAGTTGTTGACAAACTGAATTTTGTCTAATCGATATGACAGATACATACAGTACATGTAAATGCCAAAGCAACAAACCTTGCAAAATCTCATTTTGAACGGCCTGTTTTATCATGACTTTGTGGCATCACTACTTCTTGAGACATTGCTTTTGAAACTTAACAGCATGTCAAAATTAGATTCAAAATTATAGTTTTGCAGAAGGCTCTTTTTGAGTAACTTAGTACAGAGATTATTTATGAAGTAGCTAGAATAATTACTCTAGAAAGTTAATTGTACTTTTTTACTTTTTTAACAAGAATGATTTTACGGTACAAAAGAGTAGAAGCCTTTCTGTTGACATTATGTTGTTGACTGATGTTCTTTCTTAATAACATTGAAACATCAAAGTGTAGGAAGCTGAGCCAGCTTGTTTTCTTTGGTAGAGAGCTTCGTAAGCGTTGAAGGAACAGGTAGATGTAATCTCTGTTTCTACTACTGTTACTAATGATCCTGATAATACCTTAAGTTTATTTTTCTGACATCTTAGTGATGTTATTCTCTTTCCCTTGTGAATGACACTTGTTAACATGACAAAAATTAACCAGCCATTCTGTTCATTGTGACATTACACATCTAAAATATGTGTTCTCCAATTCTTCACACCTGTGGGAAGGAGGGATTGCATAGTAGTGAGAGTGCTTGCCACCCACCATTGTGGCTCAGGTTTAAATCCTGGACCTGACATCATAAGTTGGTTGAGTTTGTTGTTGGTTCTTGCCTTTGTCTAATGGTTTTCTACAAGTTCTCCGGTTTTCCACTCCACATTAACCAGCATTTTTAAATTCTAAATTCAAAATTCTATGATCAAACATATGGTTTTTCATATAGTCACTTACACTCTTCACCATCTACGGGTATATTCCAAACTCACAATGTCACCAGCTCCCAGTTGGCTTGATAGCTCAGTTGGTAGAGCACTACAACAGTATCGCAGAGGTCATGGGTTTGAATCCAGTTCAAGCATGAATTTTTTTCAGGCTTTATTTCCACAGCTGCTTAAGTCATGTACATAACTGCCATGATCATTCAAGTCTTAACATCTTTCTCAGCAGTTAACAGTTCTAAATTCCAATTCAGTCTGTAAACAGTGGTGGAATACCCACCAAATGGAATAATTCCTATTCATGATTATATTTTTTTTTGGTTGTAACAAAATGTTACACCGGTTTGACATCACAACACAATATCAATTCATAGTACACCTTAGACAACTAACATTGAAGGCTAAATCTGGGTCGAAACAACTTTCCTTTCCTCATTTTCCGGAAACTATAACCTCAAACAGATATGAAGTATTCTTAATTTCTTTCAAAAAATTCGTAACACACTTACACTAACGTATCTTAAAGAATCACTTAACAAAACAAAGGGGCATTAACTTGTAGAAATAATTTGATTGCATTGACATAAAGTATTATTGAAGCCATTGTTATGTTAACTCAATTTTTGTCAGATTATGCTAGTTTCTTTGTCGTTGTTCCTGACTAATAAACTTAAACAATGTTTCATTGCTTTTCAATTGTTGTGGCTGATCAGTAGCTTGTTTCTCTTAACAGTAACAGTATATTGGCAGAAAGACATTAATTTGATCAAAAGAGACTAAACCAATAATCACTTAGGTTTTATTTTTTGCCATGATACATTCAGATTACGTTCTTCAGTGAGGAAAATCATAGTTTAAATTTAATGGGTTAAATGTGTAAACCAACTTGCCGGTACTTGAATAAATGGTCACAATTTGAATAGTAACTATAGGAGTTAAATGATATAATAATGCTTTTGCTTAGCAGAACATGGAAATGAAAGAATTGCCATTTAGATATCAAAAGTCACAAAGCAGCACTGATTTTTTTTGTTTTTAAAAATAATCTTAAATTTGCTTGTTTGGTTTTCAGTTATTTGTATGCTTCACAAGGAAAGAATTTTAAACAATCTTGCCAAATACAGAAGTTAACCAGTTTTGTGAAACGTAGAACCTGTTAATAGTCACTTGTGCTGCTCGTAGTTTATTTGTGTGGTGTTA